ATGATATGATGGGTAAAGGAGAATTTCCGTTGCCGGACTGCCTAAGTTCAAAACCTGGGGCAATCCATTAGCTTTCCTGTTCCCAGATTGCTCATATGCATAATGCTGGTGTTGGTAATTTGTAAACTGATGGTGAGGGTTGGGGCTGCAGCTTGGAAAGTAGAGTGCTTGCCTAGCATGTAGCTCAATTACTAGAATGCTTGGCTGAATGTGCAAAGTCCTGGGTTCAAGCCCCAGCACTGCATCAACCAGGCATGGTAACATGCCTGTAATCCCAGCACTTGAGAGGTAGAAGAAGGAAAGATCAGAAGTTCAAGATCATCCTTAGCTACATAGTGAATCTGAGCCCAGCTGGGGCACATGTGCCCTTGTCTTGAAAAGAAAAAAAAAAAAAGAATTGACTTGGAACCTGACTGATTACAGAGGATCACTGCTGATCTCGGCCAGAGCTGTTCCAATGGAAAGGACAGTGAGTGACACCACATGGGTCCTAGGTGTCAATTAGCACTTCTCAGGTATGCCCAATCGAGAGGAAAGGAGTCACCATTGTCCAGTGACGCCGGCTACTAAATCCCAGTTAACTCAGCTCACAGGGAAAATCCTAATTGTTAAAAACGAGTTTATCTTCACTATTAGTGAAGACAGCAAGGCACTTGGGAACGCTCAGGCTTGTTTGATGAGTGGATAGCTGCGAAGGGAGCCTGGTGAGCGGGAGGGCGCGGGGACGCTAACCCACCAGTCCTGCACCGGGACTGCAAATGCTGCCATGTTCTGGTGCTCTCGTTGCAGTGCATAGCAGACTAGAATGTCAGCGTGTGAAGCTGCAGACTCCCAGAGACACAAGCCCAAAGTGAGGATGGTTGCAGGGGGGTGGGAGCACCCCAGATGGCTGTGGGTGTTGCTTTCTTAGCAGCACAGCCCCGTGGCACTGAAACAAATGTGCTGTCTGAGCCAGTCTAGTCTGCCATAGCGGCAGTTTTCCAGTGGGTGCCATTGCCATAATCAAAGGTTTTCTCAGGCCAACCACCAGGACACCAAGGTGGATGGAAGGATGGGAAGAATGGCTGTCTGCCTTCCAGAACGCCTGACCCTAGCCATTAGCCTTGTGACTAGGCGTTCAGTGGGGGCGATGGCCCAGGTGTTCTCAGGGATGAGTTCTAGGTAGACTCTGAGCTGAAGCTACACTTTCAAGAGCCTCTGTTGGCTGTAGAACCATCACTATGGGGAAACTGGGGGACAGGGAGGGCATGTGTGAGAGCAGGTCCATAGCATGTGGAGGTGGTGGTCCCAGCCATGAAAATTCACAGTGCTGTCTGCTTTTTACTTAACCCTGTGTCTTGGCACACAGAAACATACACTACAGGTCCCTTGCCACATGATGCCATATGCTACCTTAGAATTCTGACAATAAAAAGGCCATCACTAGAACTGAGCCAATCCCAGTGGTCTACCCTAGAATCTCCCAAAACTGTAAGCCGAGTCCTCCAGTATTTAGTTAGAGTTATAAAAGTATGCCTGCATGATATTAGGGCACTCAGAATAAAGCAATTCAAAGAGTGTCTCAATACTTAGCAGCTTTTATACGGCAGGCCACTATGTCTGGCTTTTTTTTTTTTTTTTAATGTGCTTTCTGGGGTTTGGACTGAGAACCTCATGCATACAAAACAAGCATCTTACTGGACTGAGTTATCTGCTGTGACTTTCAAGTTGTCTGCAAATGCCCTTTAGTAAGTAAAACTAGCAAAGCAAATATATTTTTAAAAAGTGATAAAAATTCTTTGCAGCAGATCTAATAACAGGCCAGAATGGAATGAGTTTGGTTTAAAAGTGTGCATCCAACTCCAACTCTCTGCATTTGGAGAATGGGAGGAAAGGTGAGGCTCTTCAGGATCTCTTTCCTTCTTCTTTTCAAATATTTATTACATTTATTTATTTGTGTATATGTATACAGAAGCCTGTATGTGTGCATGCACACATCATTGTCTATGTGTGGAGGTTGGAGGATAATTTACAAATAGTTGGTTCTTCCCTTCCACCATGTGGATCTTAAGATCCAATCCAGGTCATCAGACTTAGCAGCAAGTCCCTTTACCCACTGAGACATCTTGCTGGCTCCAGGATCCCTTTCTTGTCTCAAATCTACATCATGCACCAGGATCTGGTCAGCTCAATGACAGCTCCCTGGTTCTGCTTTAACTGACACAGAATGGCCTTCACTGGATGCCTTGCTGAAGACCTGGGCAACTTCTGGCTTTGTTGCTGATGAGAAGGGGCAGCGTCCACTCAGGGCCTAATTTACGCTTTCATTTTCATGGCTCCAGGAGGGCCATGTCACTGCCCACTCTTTCCACAAGGTCACTTGGAGACTACAGTGAGGTAAGAGTGTGAAACCGCTTTATAATTCTTCCTGTGGTGTACACAGGCTAGAGGGCTTGCTGACAATTCCTGGCTGCTTAAATGCTTGCCTTTCAATTGGAAAGACCTGGTCAAAGGTGGAGAAAGTGCTCTTTGAAGCCTAAAACCTTAAAAAAAAAGAAACTAATGGCACAAAGAAATGCCATGTTTCTTGATAAGCAGTAAATAGTGGAAAATGAACTAGACGTGTTGAGCAGGCAGAGACATTTGGATTGCAAAGGCTGCCTGCTCCAGCCTCAAAGGGAAGAGGGAAGCAGGAAATACACCTTCAAGAAAAGCATAATTTAGAAACAAGCGTAAAACCTGAACACAATGACATGGAGTGAGAAAATATTTGTTTATCCAGTTCCTCTTCCTGTTCCAGGAGGGGGTCCTTCAAGCTGGGATGAATCTCACCCATCTTCACGGGTCTTACTCCTTGTAAAGTTTAAACTGCACTCTAGCAATGACTTAGCATGGCCCACTTGTTGTTGCCACTTCATAGATCAAAATAATAACAGTATCATGGATTAGGTAAAGATGCAATAGATCCATCTGTTTGATAAATGCCTGCCCCCAGTGACACACCTCCTCCAACAAAGCCACACCTCCTAAGCCTTTCCAAACAGTTCCACCAACTAAAGACCAGGTATTCAAATGTATAATCCTAATGGGGGCTAGTCTCATTCAAACCACCATTACATAAGGTAGGGAATATCCATTTCACCTTTTGTGTGTTTATTATTTTTTTTATTTTGTCTGAATAAACATTCTGCAGAACTAGACTCTATGATAAAAATTATATCATATTAATTCTGTTCCACAGCCATCTTCATGTCATATTATATCACTGACAGGAAGGGAATTGCAAATAGTGTTTGCATTATAATGACCCTAGACAAGTCTTGAAAGAACAGGATTGGATTTCATAAAATACATTTGGCTCTCAGCTTCCTCTTGTTACAATCCAAACAGCAAGAGACAATGGGACCTGGTAGGCATAGCAGGATGAACACATGAGACACACTAGAAAGTAGGTTCACAGGACAAGTGTTACTCTGCTTCATCAGGGTTTAGAACAGAGCTGGGCTGAGGAACTCTGAGATTAGCTCAGGATTGACAGAATGAATATAACACATAAATTTCTTACATCATCAGCACAGATGAGGCTCATTTTAGGTATGTAAGAAATCACTATTGAATGATTGAGTGGCCCGTCCAATTCAGCTACTGAGTGGGCGTTTTTTATTATTATGTAAGGAATCAGTTCAATAATCATGTCTCCTGCGCAAGATTCTGTTTCTGATCTGGGCCTGGTGCTGCAGGCCTGTAATCCCAGCTACTCAGGTATTTGAGGCAAGAAGATGATAAATTCAAGGCATGTCTAGACTATAGAAAAAGTTCAAGGACAACCTGGGCAACTTAGTAAGATGCTGTCTCAAATAAATAATAAAGCTGGGAAGTGGTGGTACACACCTTTGATTCTAGCACTTGGGAGGTAGAGACAGGTGGATCTCTGTGAGTTCAAGGCCAGCCTGCTCTACAGAACTAGTTCCAGAAGAGCCAAGGCTACACAAAGAAAGCCTGTCTAGAAATAACAAAAATGAAAAAATATAAGTGAATAAAAAAATGGGGTTCAGGGATGCAACTCAGTGGACGCTACCACTGAGCGTTTCAAATGTATAAGGCCTCAGGTTCAATTTCTTCATCTCTAACGTGGGTAAATGTTATATCTCTAATGTGTATTTTCCTTAAAACTCTCTCCCTGCCCTCTTAAGAGGTGGAAGAGGCTAGAAGAAGAAATTTAAGTGGTTTGTGTGGTTGAGGGTTTTCCCTTCCACACTATGCCGTTCCAGACTGGGTCACTGCCAGCTGAAGACTTGCTCTTTACATTACAGATTAATAAGGAACAGCCCTTCCCTCTACCCGCTAGGTGCTGGTTACATCCATGTTGTGACAAGGAAGAATAGCTCATATTTCTAATGTTTCCTGGGAGACAAAAGTTGTCTCTTGTTTAGAATGACTGCTGTATCTTTAATCACACTTGGAATAATTAAGTATCTTGGGTTATAAAATAGACAGTTCGAGCACTATATAGACACTGCCTATGGCTACATCTGGTTTAAATACATATTAAGTCAGGACTTAAACAGTGAGAAAAGAGCGCGGCAAATACCAAATTAAAGGCTAAAGTCAACTGATAGTTCTCCAAAGATGTAGATAATGAAAGTTATTTCAGTCATCTTATTTCCCTACATTAGAGTGCTTTTCTAATTATGCTCCATCTGGGCTAAGAATAGTAACCATCATCAATTTCCTGAGTACATGGTGACATATGACAGAGAGGATGGCAAATGTGCATGGAGAGAAAGAATTTGAGTTCTTAAATTTTCATGGGCTCTCATAAAATGGGTACCTTAATCTTAGGTACCAAACTGAATTCATGAGCTCAAAAACAAAGGCTAGGATACGTAGCTCAGTGGTAGCGTGCTCACCTAGAATGTACAAGGCCTCTCATGTTTGATCCCAGGACTGCAGAAACGCGAATAAACCCAAATCAGCCAAACAAACAAAGCTTGAAAAATAATAGCAACATCTATACTCACAGGTGAATTAAAGACTTGAGTCCCCGGAAAGTATGTCTTGAAATGGACTTGATATTGTTGTTTTCTATGAATCTGCAAGAGGTGACAACGGTTTTGGTCAGACAGCCATCGTAACTGAGGAGTACCTGTCCTGAATTAGTGTGGGGGCGGGGGAAGTTGTCTTACTTACAAATATTCTAGATGTGGAAGACCAATAAAAGCATCATCACTGATCACATCAAAGGAGTTCGATGTGAATAACCTGCCCAGAGAGAGTACACAATGAGAACAGTGAAAGTGTCAGCCTGCTGATCTTTGCCGCTCTCATCTCTCAGAGAAACGGGTGAAGGTTGACACGGATAAATGTCTGCTTTCTATAGTGTTGCTTCTACAGAAAACCTTGGCAGCTTTTCTCACTCCTGGCTGTCTCCTCCTGAAACGCTCACTGAAGGGGTGCCTGCAGCCCCTCTCTTCAGGTCATAGGGGTCATACATCCTAGAAAGCATTTGGAGAAACAAGCTTGTTTTTTTTTTTACTACGATGAAGACACTAGTGATCGTTTTCATGTGAAAACATGCTCTGGAAACTTCTGGAATATTTTGACAAGGCAAAATAATGGGGCATTGGGAGTTTGATACTGGGAATTGTAGGGGAACATGTAGCCCCATTATGCTGCGATCGCTTGAGGCAGTTATAATGCGTGGACAGTGGTCATGATCACCAGCTAACCTTCTTTGAAAACAGGACGGGCTGAAAATGGGAAATGATGACACTTAGGAGGCATTGGAGGCCATTTTATTACTAAATAATTAAAAGGAACACTTTTACTTGAACAAATTTATTGGCATTTTCAAAATCCACAGGGATCTGGCTTGAAAAATCACTGAGGTCAAAGGACGTCAACAAATCTGTCACCACACCCTGTTGAACTCTTTGGAGAGGTTGCCAGTTTTCTAATTGAAAACCTAGAAACAGGTATTTTTAGGCTAAATAATTGGATTGTGTGCCAGACGATTTAATAACCGTGTAATAATTCTGTTAGTAAATCTTGTGATATTTTTACTTTGAGATGTAAATGAATACATCTACCATTTGTAGGTTAAATGTAATTGCCAGTAGTTTGTCAAGCGACTCCCCTCTGAGCCCGCTAACTGAGGAGATTAAACCAGGAGATTTTACTTTCTGAAGTATTTTGAAATGAGTAATCAGGGGAGGGTAGACATGGACTGAGTAGGAACTGATAAGTTTTGAAGCTGAGGGATGGGAACACAGGTGTGAATTTTATGGTCAGCTCTATTTTTAGAGACGAGATTTTTCCATTAAAAAAAAAAAAATAGAGGTGGAGGACGAAGCAGCCAAGTGAATCGAAGTGACGTCTTCTGTTTTTCCCCCAAACTATCAATCCTGGAATGGTGTTGAGTTCACTGCTAATCCCTCCTCCCTCTGGCGTCATGGCTTTTACTCAAGTAATTCACTAGACTCTGAAAAGCCAAGACGCATATTACAGCCTGTACTTATTAAAATGAAGCCCAAGGTTCATGACTCCCATCACGACTCTGGTAATTGTCTCCTCTCGTTTTATGGTTTTGGAAAGCAACCCGAAGCTCAGCCTTGCTCCTCAGTAAGCTGACGCCCAAAGGCTTGAGCAGGCTCTGGGGCTTTGTTTCTGTCCTTAAGGGCCGCAGCGGGGCTGAAGAGAGGGACAATACAGCAGAACGGATGCAGGTGAGTGCCTCTCGGCCTCAACAGTTTGCAAACTGCCCTGCGCTTCACCAGGGGCTTCATCATCCCACACTCCAAACTGCCAGAAGAAATAGCCTTTATCGCTGCCACCCTTTATGTCAAATCAGAAGCAAGGTGGACTGAGAAACAGTTATCAGTGGGCATCTCTAGGCAGGTCACAGAAATGAAAGATAGGATTTCTTCTAGAATTTCTGTTGGCTTGTTCAGTACTTACCTTAGTACTTGTGATAGTAACTGTTTTACTATGAATACTGACCAAATATTTGTTGAACAAAGAGGCTTTCTCTGTTCAGCACATTGCTAGATTACAATAGTGGATGTAATTTTAAAGCAAGGTCTTGCCTTTATTTGTTTTTGTGCCCCCAACTCTATCCCATTTCCTGGTTTTGAAAAAAAAAATGTTTGGGGAACCAAATTTCAAAGATTAAAACCACTGGCTAAAACTATAACTACAAGCAAAATATCCTAAGGAAAGAAGTCAGAACACAGTAAAGCACATGCTATGTGGTTAACATAGAAAGAACAAATCTATGCAGGTAGACATCAGTGCAGTGGTTGTTCTTGGAGGGATGTTCTAACTGAAAGTGAACACAAAGGCTGCCTCTAGGGTGAAAATAATACTTGGCTTCTTAACTTGGGTGCTGGACACAAGGGCGCTTGTTTGTAAAAAAACAAACACAAAGCCATTGAGAAGTAGTATACTTGTGATGGTGACTATTTCTCTATGTATAATTATACTTCAATTTAATTTTTTCTTATAAAAGCTAAAAAAATTCCTCCAACTAAGATAATAATAAATATCATAGCTTTTTAATTCTAAATTCAATAGTAGTTTCTATGAACATGAGATTATAAAATTATGCATATATTCAAAATATACTTGAGTGGCTTATTCATTTTATTATTCAATATAAACTTGAAAAGACTCATGAATAGATCACATTCTATGAGGAAAATAAAACTTAAATCCTTAATTTTTATAGAGTCTTAGAAATATATTTTATTCTACCAGGCAGTGGTGGCATACACCTTTGATCCCAGCACTTGAGAAGCGAATTCAAGGCCAGCCTGGTCTACAGAGCGAGATCCAGGACAGCCAGGGCTATACAGAGAAACCCTGTCTTGAAAAACCAAAATAAAAAGTAAAGGAATAAATAATTTTATTTCAATATTATGATTTGTTATTAAATCATATAAATCA